CCTCCCCCGTGACCACCACAGACTTCCCCGCCCTCCTTCCTCTACCTCTGATCATATGTTAGATGTTGTCAACTTGGGGGACTGTGGGGCAGATAACGGAGCTGCAGCTGCTGAGCAAGATGAACATCTGGTTGTAGCATCACTGCTCTCCCCATCCAAAAAATCCAGATTGGTAGACCAGGGATCGGACATACAAAGCGACCATCCCCCGATTTCCAGACAGCAGAGTGTCGCACGGTTGTGTGAATACCATCTAGCAAAAAGAATTTCAAATTTGCAAGGAGAAGCCCACAGTTCACTACAGGGTTCTTTGTGTTCATCACTAGATGCTGGTGGCAGCACGAACAGTAGTGCCTGCGCCACCCCAACCGACTCGCCACTTGGCCCAGGTGCGGTTGAGTCAAAACACCACCATTTACAAAGACACCCGCTTTCTAGTTCCTCCTCCTCATTACTCAGGGTGGTAAACTACGAAGATAGCAAACCTGGAATCCCTCGTGGCATCCCTGTCCAGGGCGCTCAGGGAAAAGACCTCCACCCTCACGCAGACCCCGCCCTCCTTCGGAAAATGCTGCCCAACATCCACCCTCCTGCTCCCGGGGCTGAACCAGGCCGTCCCTCCTCAGCCACACCGTCTAAGCATAAAGAGACCACAGGTACTGGAAGCAAGAGGCCCCAAAATGATCTGCATGCTAAACAACAGGCCTGTTTTAAGGGGCTGAACCAGAAGGAAGGCAGTGAGGCCTACAGACAACTGATTAACTATCTAACAGTCAGCCAGATGCATCAGGGGGGGAAGCTGCACAGCGCAGGCATGGGAGGGGCAGTGAAAAAGGACACCAGGCGCTTTATCACTAGCAATCCTCAGCTTGTCGAAATGGTTAAGAATAGGGGGAATACCATTGCTCGCTGTCCATGTATGCCTTCCTCCATATCATCCCCATTTCTCAGCCCAAATTTGGTAACCTCTAATGCGGCCACCATGCAGCTGGCAAATAAAAATCTACGGTCATACCATTCAGCCACACTTCCTGCCAAACTCAAGAGAAGTCCTGACACGCATGCTCAGAGACTGAATGACAGTCTAGATTTCAGGCCAGCTACTGCTGAGAGGAGAAGCTCTTTTTCTGGCCTGGAAAGTGAACTAGAGAGGAGTGGTATGGACCCAGAGCACTTCCTGTCACTGTATAAGAGAGAGGGCTGTATCAGCCGTGACGGGGGATCCATTACAGGTGGAAACCGCGAGGGTGGGGGTACCACTAACCGTCCCCCACCTCGGTCAAGAAGCCAACCTAGTGGCAGCACAGAGGACTGGTTCAGATCAGACCCAAGAGCAAAGCATGCAGTCCGTCAGTCTCCTCACCCTCGTCCTAATGATTCTCTTTGTTTCTCTGCTGCCCCCAGTGTAAGTGGTCAACGAGCAGACCTCAACACCATCTCACTAGGAAGGGGAGACCATCCTTCAGCTTTCATCAGGCAGGCATCTACTGGCACTAGGGCTTGCATTACATCTCCAACTCCCAACCCACAATGTCCACCTCCTCCACCACCTCCCCCACCACCTCCCCCGTTGCCTCTTTCCGTCCAAGCCAACGCTAGCTCCAGCAACTCAGGATGCACACAGAATTCCATCCATACCACCCAGTCCCGGCAGAATCAGAACCACATTCAGGCTGTTATTCCAACCCTGCAACAAACGGATCCCTTCAGCAACAACCTGCAGCGGGGCCGGGAGCTCAAACGCAGCTCCAGCAATGTCACTGCCGGTTCTGGAAGCGTGGAAGTTCTGTTCGAGAAGCCCACCCGAAGCCGGAGTCAGCAGCCCTTGTCACCAACTGTGCCCCAGCAAGGTGAGACCAAAGTCCAGCGGAGGCCAACAAGGAAGCGGCTCTCCAAGAGCTACTCCCAAGGCTCTGTATCTTCCCACACCACGTGCTGGTCTACAGGCAGTAGGGTAGACAGTAGGCGGGCGTCTGTGGCGTTTCCATTGCAGAAAGACGCTAAACACATAAAGGGCTCTCAAAAACTAGACACCAGTCCCTGGAGATGCAACGGGCCTTTTAGCTACTGTTTCTTCAAACGTAAGGCCGAGGGTGAAGAGGATGAGATTGAGTGGGAGAGGCCCAGACGAAGCCGCGGTGGGAAAGATTTTGATAACGATGGCGCCGCTGCATCGGCCATATTGCCCTGCGGCTCAGCCGTGGACGCAGCTGGAGAGCAGCTGTACGGGGAGGTCCTCAATAATATGAGTTTCAGTGACCGTCTGGCGCGAATCAACGCACTCAAGGACCGCATGTATGGCTTCCCATCAGGCTTCACTGATGTCCGCCGCGATGCCAGCGAGCTCATCGCGCTGGTGAGATCCAGCGTGGGTCGCTGCGATCGCGGACCCCAGATGCCTCTCCAGGATGTATCCCAGTACAAGCAGCTCCTCTCGGTTGAGTCGAAAGAGTTAGGCCGGGCGTGCCGGAGGATGGCGCAGGCCCACAGTAGTCCCGAGGAGATGCTGCTAGCTGTAACTTGTAGCTTCCAGGTGCTTTGCTGTCTCTGCGAAGCTTGTATGTGTCTAGTTAGGGGCCTCGGAGCGTCGGCCTCGCACCAACAGAGAGAGGTCGTGGCAAAGGTCGACGAGGTTGTTATGAACTATATCTGTTTGCTCAAAGCGGCTGAGGCTGCCACCGTGGGAGCACCAGGGGAGCACAGTGTGAAAGCCCTGGTCCGCCACTCAAGTACCATGTCGGCCATTGCTAACGCACTCACCCGCTCCCTTAAAACGCTGCTTAGCAAGTAGAGGCTACTCCTTATGCTTTATAGTGTGGCCTACACAGTCAGTAGAAGTCTGTCTTTGAGCATCTTGCTATTTTTGAGGCTGCTGGAAGAGTCGTATGTTTTTCATATACGGTCTGGATTGTCTCCATATCAGAATCAATAAAGTGTACAACTCATTGCAGTTACACTTAAGATTAAAGTAAAAAAACTGAAAGATTAGTAAGATGCTGAAGGGCAGTCCTATCTGACTGCACTTGCTTTTTCTGATGACATTATTGTAATGTATATTTACAAAGCCATACTGTCACAGAACTTTGTAATATGATATGTACCTAATAGATACCCTTTTACCTGTGCATTATGTAACTTATTTAAAAAGAAATGTATATAATGTACATAAATACAATATAATTATATTATTTGCCGTAGCAGTTTCAAGAAGCCATTGAGTATTCAGCTTAATTTGCTCTGATATTGTACAGGGGTGGAGTGAATTCACTTTCAGTTCGATCAGTTCATAAAAGTGCAGTTTTACTACAGATATTTATAACTGTGATTATAATAATTTACCTGTAGAAATGTAAGTAAAAATGTGTCACTGTCAGTCCAGTGCGAAATTTGTTACTATCATTTTATTCACACAAAAAAATACTATCTTTAACTTCTGAATGACTGTGTAAAAGTGAACTGATTTCAACCCTGTTGCATTACAATGCAGTTTTTTTTTGTTTTTTTTTTGCAAGATTTGTTAGAAATGTTGACAATACGGGGACAATAAAGTTGCACTGCATTTGCCACTGCTTCATATTTTACCACAGATTATTTTCAGATGAGAATAATAACCCCAAAAACAAGATATATTAAACTATAACAATGCTATAATATTATTAATTTAGAAAACATTTATTAAGAAATATTTCAGATTGACCACTGTTAATTATATATAATTATTTTGAAGTTTTTGTGTTTTATCATCATCTGTTTTGGAATAAGTTCTGTGCTTGAATGATTTATTATTCCACACTATGTATCAAGATGCAGTTATGTCTCTTGACGACAAATTCAATTCCTGTTTTTTTTTTTTCAATAATCCACCAATCTATTAAAAAGATTTTACAGATATTTTTGCCTCTTACCATGTGTCTTTTGGTTTGAATGGGTCACTGTGACATACGGTCGGTGCCGGTGTGTTGTGAGCATTTATTCCATCCATAATAAAAAATACTACAGCCAATAATTGAAATGCCATAAAACTACTATCAAAAACTCTCATGTCCATGTATAATGCGTGTTGCATTGGCATACATTTTGATAATATTCATACAAACATAATTGGTTGTGAGGCTGTTCCTATTAAAACATAAGAAGACTTTGCATGCACATCTTTGTGAATTGTTTTTCTTTTGTTATATTTTTATCTAATGTCAGATATTTGGCTATTACATACATTTAGGATGCAGAGAGAATGTTTCAAGGTGCCTTTTACTGTGCTTTTTTTAATTTCAATTATAGGGCTGCAGGTGGCACTGAAGTTAAAGCCTCTCCATGGCCTCCTCTGTTGTAGTAGTAGTATCTTAGTAGATATTATAAAGGGTAATTTGACATTAACTGCTTACCTACAGTTCATCCATGTCAGTTCCTTCTGCTCAGACAGACTGCCCTTCAACCAGAGAATAAATGTTGTCAAGCAGCCTTCTTACTGAAATGTGCATGAGAAGCAAGTGACAAAAAGACACTAGTATACCAACAGGGAATTTCAAAAGATCGGCCTCATACACGTTCACCAAGCAATCATTAAAAAACAGAAATATACACCAGCAAGCACAAGGCTTGGTAAGTATAAATAATAATAAATAAAAGTAGTATATGAGTTTAAAATGTTTTAGCAGCATCAAAATTCCGATGGGACACAAAAATTAGAGAGAAAAGGGAATCTATCACTGCCAAGTGACTGATTTGAATTAAACTGAATTATATTAGGGCAGCATAAAGACTTTCATAAACTTTTTAACACTGTGTAATATGGTGTGTGTGTGCTCACATGACCTCCTCCCCCCACCTCCGGAGCAGCAGAGGGGGATGTGTGTGTGTATGGGGGGGGGGCATTGGCGACCTCATTAGCATATTGGGCGCCTGTTCCACACGCGCTGCAAACATCCACCAATCAGATCGACGCATGCAGCAAACCACGCCCGCGCGGCAACTCGTGTCGCGCGCCTCAGCAGCATTGTACTGGCGGTGGGGCAGATAGGAGCTGTTAGTTTGCCCTTTTACCTCCACAAGTACGCGGGGGGGGGGACTTGAGTTTAGTTTTTTTGGTAGTGTAGTTCAATTCAAGCAAGTTTATCTTTGCGAGTAAACCCTCGTTGAGCTCGACAGCTGCACTGAATTTGAAGGAGCCGCCGAGTTTATCCGCTGAAAGCAAAGTTACTCCAGTGGAAGAGGGATTGTCGTCGGCCCCCCGTGGGGTTTAAAGTTCAGCTAACAGTAGCGTCACTAGCTCCTAGCAGGTAGTTAGCGCAATATCGTAACCGATAAGTTTGGTCATTATGGCAGCTGTGTGCCAGTCTCGACGTGCCTTGGTGGAAATACCGGCTCCACAGCCCAAAATTGCAGGTAAGTCTGAGATATGACATCTTTATTTTCAGGCTGCGGACATTGCTGTAACTTCTTTGTGCGGGAGGCGCCACTTTGCTATCATGCTAATGTTATCATAAACGCGCGCCCCCGGGATTAGCAGTCAGTTAGCCGGTAATGTATTATAGTGAATATAACTTTAATGTGTAACTACAGAACCTGTACACCACGAAAATATAGTTTCCAGTCGATGTATACGTCGCTCAGTGCTGTGCAACATTATAGGGAATATTCACACGAGACACTGACTGGAGACTAAGAAGGAAAAGTTTTTAAATAATTTTTTTAATGTTTCCCAGCTCGAATGAGGAGGTCCTACCTAGAAATCCTGAGTGCTCGTTTGGCTCCATCTCCACTTCCAAGAGGGAGAAACACAGCTGCAAACACAAAGCGTGCGCCATGTAAGTACACAGCAAAAATATCAAATCTACCTGCAAAACTAATGTGTGGTTGGTTTTCTGAGCTCACTTTGTAGGAAACCAAATGGAAAGTGTGATAACGGAAAGGGTGGGAGTGTAAATGCAGGTGGCTTTCAGTGTGTTTTCTCCTACCGGCCCTGTTTCCTTTCGTATTGAATGTCGTGACAGCTTACATGCATGAAATAAAGTTTACTAACTGATGAATAGTCCAGTTTATGTTAATGACTGGGAAGCCGGCTCTTCCAGTCCAGTGATTGCCTCCCCCCTCCTGCCTTTGTTTGATGTGGTCTGTTGTCCTAATCATACCCCTTTGTTTTGCAGTGGACTTGTCCATTGGTGGGGTGTGGAGCGGGGGCATAGAGGAGCAGTGTGAGAAGATGGACGATCACCATGCCCCTCTGTCCAAACAGCAGCTAGTACAGCTAATCCGGTCCCTCATCTTAGTCGAACAGGTACCGAGATGTGAAACAAAATGCACTGATCGTCTCTTGAGTCCTCACTACATGTGGTGTAATCGGACATATTATGTGTCGCATCCTAGAGCCAAGACCCCAGGACCCTGGCGTCGGACCTGAAGTACCTCCAGGACGACCTGCACCTAAAGAAGGCAAATGTTTACCGGTCCATACCCTACTCACGGTTTGGCTCCAACAGGGACGCTCACTGCTACAGAAAGGCATATCCCCATCTGGTGGCGTTCAAAGTGAGTGTCAGTGGTGTTATGGCATGTTTCTGTAAATGATGGCACTTTTTGGAAACCGGCAGAGGACATTTTTTTACTCTGTCAAGCACCCATTTACAGCAAAGCGATGTATTTTAGAAAATACAGAGCTCTTTAAGCACATGCCAGCTGAGCTTTTCTTTTCTACATAAAGGGATTTTTTTTTGCGTCACCGATGTGTTAAACTGCTCCATATGTTACCTCTATGTGGCACGTTGAGCCGAGTGTTTCATTGTGTCATCCTAATCCGTTACCTCCTTATCCTCCCCCTCAGGTTTCGTGTCAGGAGTGGGGCCAAGTTCTTCTGAGGAACAAAGAGTGGGACGCGGTGTTGGAGCACACACTGATGGCGTGGCGCTACACCAGCGAGTTGCCGCAGTGGGATACGGCGAACCATAACGCCCTCCGAGAACAGTGTTACAACATCTTGGCAGCTCAGAGCCTGTCTGCTCTCCAGCACTACCGCCCTGAACCCAACAGAGGACGCGAGCTGCTCAGAAGGTGACACATGAAACAGTGCATACATTATATATATCCATTCTAATCAGATTGGGTAATACTCAACAAGTAAAATATCATGGAAACACCTCAGTGTGGTTGCTTAATCACTTCAAATGTTTCTATGCAGTCTTTAAAATCATTTGGGTGTGTAATTAAATTTATTTGAGTGTTTTGCTTTCATGCACGCCTCTGAAAGGTCACAGCGTGAAACAGATTCCTCAGTGGTGTGCCTGTACCAATAAAGTCACTTAATTTCCTTTTACTTTGTAGCACTAATCAGATGTTTACTGCAGGCTGCCCACATCCTTCAGAACAATAATCGTCTCCTTAAACAGCAGCAACCCTTGCTGAACATCAATAATTCCCTCTTTAAATATGAATTTTTGACGGCTGTCGGGCAGATGAATCTCGAAACAAATTCACACTTAAACTGGTGTACTTGATATATCGGCTTACTGCGTTCACTTCGCTGACTTGTTAGCAGCCAGTTGCCAACTAAAATATCCAGCTGAAGCAGTGCAACATGGGCATCCTACTGGAGTCCGGTTGAATGTAAGTTCACTCATGTTTTAGCTCTGGGTTGTTGCACCTGCACCTAGGGAACTTTGCTGGGTCTCTTTGGTACAGGGTCCGCTTTCTTCACCACACAGGTGTTTACTTCAGCTCTCACTGGGGCGCATAAAATCTGTTTCTGTATGATGCTCATCAGTCATTTGAATTGCTTTAACAGCTAACAGCTAAGATTAAGAGTTAATAATGAGGTAGCTGCTAGAGTAAACTTGTAAGCTTCACATCTGCTTTCTGTTGGAGCCAACTACCTAACCTCTATGAAGCCTAGATACTACCATATTTATAGGTGTGTCATTTTCCTCCTGTTGCTCAGTGGATTAGTTGTTGTTGGTTTTCAGTTCATTTCATTTTCTGTGTTAATGTTAATAGTAGTGAGAAGGTATCACTGTGTAACAGTCCTGTTTCTCTGTTTCCAGGTTGAAGATGGTTCAGTTGCAGAGCCAGTCAATTGTGCCCTGTATTCAGGAGTTGCAGAGGATTATGGGATGTGCTGATGACTCCTCCATGGACACAAAATAACATGAGAAACACTGTCACCAGCTGGCTACACCACAGCGAGAAGTGAGCTTCATGGATGAGCTTCAATGATTTATGTGTGGTGCACGGCCAAAAACATTTAACATGGTAGTGTTTATTTGGAAAACCCACTACAGTGTTCCTCCAAAGGGCAGGGTAGCAGCTGAAAATGGAATAAATGCCAGATAATGCAGCTTTCATGAGATAATGAAAACCACTTTCTAAATGGTTGAAAATGCAATAAAACCTCTTATTTAATGACATTGCATTTTTGCATCAACTGGAAAGTATCGTTGCGAGGAGTGTAACATTTGTTGCCTGGCACAACTCGTAATATATTCATTATTGGTTAATGTAAAGTTCGTACGTTAACAGCTTTTTATACATTTCTATCCAAGAGGAACATTCGCATTCTGAGAAATTTTGTGTTTGGTTGGTGCTGACAGCAGTGAAATTAAAACGTATATTTTTAGAACTTTGTCTAGAATGGCTTTTGCATTGACCATTGAAATGTTAAAAGTAAGAAATGGCCTTTCTTGTTGCTTTATAGGGGTGTGCGTGTGTATGTATGTATGTGTGTGTATGTATGTGTATATATATGTCCATGTTACTGTTCACAATACTTGAAACTGTGGCCTTTGCCGTCTTTGACTAGTTATGTTCTATATGTATGTCTTTGTCACTGATTGCACTGTTGCCGTTTGTCCTGAAAACTTGAATTTTTGATAAAATAGATCCCTAATTTCAATAAAGTTGTTACTTTGTACTGGCGAAAAGGCTTGTCCATCTGTTGTGTATCTCAATCTCTAACAGCTATATTCTCCATATAGTAAACCAAATGGGACATTTAACATCACCTCTGCTACTCCATTGTATGCAGGTTGTGTTTATAATTTGACATTTAAGGTTTGAATGCATTGCTCTGTTTGTCAGGTACTTAAAGTAGCTGGGAAGAACGAACTGGTGACCCTTCTGTTGTCAGTATGACAGACGCTACATTTGCACAGAATGATATAAACCTTAATTTTACTGATGTGTCGATGTGCTGCTTCGTGTCTGCTGTTCGTGTGAAACACTTGAAATCCTGGTAGGTGTTCACAGGGCATCTGGAGGTGAATGAGTGGAAAAACTGCAATGACGTTTTTCATACGGAGCATTAGATTTACAAAGACCACGCGTGTATGTTAATGCTTGTGTTGTTTCTCTTTTTCCTCAGTGGGATTAAAACACTGCTGGGTGTTCATTGTAGCAGAATCACAATGAATTGCCATGCATTTGTAAACCCTCCAAAGAAATCTGTATGTGCACCGTATAGTTGTGTAGTTTCTGTGTGACATTGATTAGTAGACAGTGGGTGCTGATTAGTAGGCAGTGGGTGCTGATTAGTAGGCTGGGGTAGCTGATTTGTAGACTGGAGTTAGCAAAGCCCCTTGAATGGAGACCGCTGCTTCTTAAAGATAGGCCATTGAAGTAGATAATAGGATTAATCGATCAACGGATTGATCATTTGTCCATCTTGGCAGTGTGTGAGCTCTGCCCTTTTTAAAGTTGCCGTTTTGCACCACTAGGTGGAGCCCACGTTGCACCAACATCCAGCGTCGCCGTCGCTGGGCTCAGCCTTGTGGCTTCAGTGGAGGAGCAATGTAGACACAGCTGTTGCCATGGCACTCTGGAGTGAACATTCGATACAATTTAAATGCTATTTATGGTTTAAGATGATCAATGGCGTCTGATGGGGTGAGAAGCTGTCGGCTGTTGACATGCAGACTTCCTGCTGTGCAATTTCTCTGTCAGAAATAAAGCTCTAATATTACTTATTACGTCCTGTTACTCATATAGGAACATCTGTAGTGACATTAGGGGACTTTGGTCTCCTATGATATCTCTACAGATCTTGTTTAGGGATATATTGTACCTTTAGTATTTGGCTGTGATGTTTGTACTTTAGGGATTAATACAGTTATGTGTCTCCAGGCTATTGAATGGGACGTAGTAATATTACAGCTATGGCAATATATGTAAATGTGGCCAGCCCACTCACATAGATATGTGGTTTTAATTTGTAATCTGTGAACTGGAGATTATACTGGTGGTTCAGACTCCCACATTTTTAGCCCGTATATAATGGCCTGCACAAATCCCTCAGGAGTCTTGCTTGTTTCTCTGTCTCACGCTATCTTTTGTTGCCTTTCGTTACAAAAAGAGGGGAAAAAAATGAAATAGGGGATAATACCACAGAGTGTTTGTCTAAGCGATCACAATAAATTAGCTTTCATAGCTTGCTCTTACAGGGAAAAAAAAATGTAGCAGCATTTTATGCCAATAAGGTCCTCTGTACATGGTTCTGTTCAGAGGCTTTTTAAAAATATGCTGTAAATGCATGGCCCGGTCCTCACCTGAGATTAGTCCTCCAAGCAAATGTTTTTCAAAGTGGGATCCGGGCAGGGATTTCCTGAGCTACTTCAGAGTCTACCAAGGAGTCCTCAGCGAAATCACAAGCACAGAATCAAATGTACAGCGAGGAGAGCTCTGTTGTAAGCACTGCAGCTTATTGATGTTGGCACTGTAGAAGAAACAACTCTTTAAAGAGGTCGGAGGCAGGCTGAAGTAGTGCAGAAGTTAAAATGCCTTTATTATGACATGACTGTAAAGAAGAAGAAAAAAAACAATCAATGCATTACAGCTCCCCGGTGCCTTTATTTAATTTTTTTTAGGTTGCCCTCACTACTGAGCCAAGATCAGACATCTACCAGCTACAAAGACAGACCTCCCGGTTTTGTTTGCCTCTCTGCATAGAGCAGTAAATTCTCTATTTTACCTCGACAATATAACACCCCCACAAACAGCGCTCCATTCAGTATATCCGAAATCAGCAATAGTTACGTTCCAAACACAGTGTGTCACCAGAGGTTAGCCCAGGGGAGAATGTAAGAATCTTTCACTCTTTCCCTTTGCTCAATATCTCCCAAGTAGCTCCGGTAGATAGTGATGCAGTTCTACATGCAACAAATAAATCATAGTGCTGGGTCAGATTTCTAACAGAAGTTGGTGTGTATGTCTTTACTTGTTTGTTGTGAAATGTTCTGAACGATGCCCAGAGATAGCATTGTATAGCATCTATATCACATGTTTCTCTCCCAAGGAAAAAAGGAAATATCCACCCTAAAACTAAATTGTAAAATAAAAGGCAGTGTTTTTTAGCATTTATGCCCTTCATAGTGACGTTTTTACTACTTTAGTTTGTACTTTTGTTGACATCTGCCTAAAAGGAATGGGGGTTATTGAAGTAGCTGTTTCTAGACTCTTCTGCACCGATGTTGTGATTGTCCACGCTTCTGACAATAAACTCAATTAATGGTCCAGTTTATAGAAACTTTCCTCCCAATAACAAAGTAACAAAGCCCTCTAGTGGCTGGAGGAATAATGAGGTTGGCCTTTGGCGTGGGAGAGATCGCTGTTCGCTTCCTGTTTGTTACTGACAGTCACAATGGTTTCTTTTAGCCATCACCGCGATTGCACCACGATCTTTCCCTAACCAAACCTTAACTGTAGCTGTAAGATCAGCTGCATTTTGACAGTGGTGATTTGTAATGGTTTTGGAAGGCGCTGGGGACTGATGTCAAGGGTGTCAAATCAGAAAAGACTTACATGAGCCGTGCTGGAGGGCAGGAGTTTGTACCAGTCCACTGACCAGCAGCCCCCTGATCTCAGTAAACTCATAAATAAGACATGGTAAACAGCGTCTACTGAGTTGACACCAACTTCCTGAATGCACTATTAAATAACTGACGTACAGTTGAGTATATCATCATGATACTGAGGGCCACAAAGAAAACTTGATTGACTGATTTGTAGGTGCTTTTGGAATGACACAGCTTTGCCGACCCATCATTTTTACAGTTTTCAGCCATGAAATGTGGCTGCACCTGAACTGGAACACGAGTGAGATCAAGTATGCTCCTAAGAAGCTGAGACAAATGCAGAAAATCACAAACTGCGTAAGCAAAGACGAGGCGGGGCGGAGGAAGTCGGGTGTACCAAAAAAAAAAAAAGCAAGTTACAACACTTCATCCCAAAATAGCTCCTGCAATGCCCTGGACATCACAGATGGATTGCGTTGCTGAGGAATGACTAATTCCCTCTCGGTAGAATGCGAGGTTTACATCGGTGGTTTTTAATTCTGGACCTCAGGATGCACAGCTGTGCTGCTTTTCATTCATCTTCACCCGTCTAAAAAAAGGGTTTGATTTACACCTGGGATGCCAGGTGAGTGTAATTAACTAGCTGTGAAGATAGAAAACCAGCACTACTGAGTCTCAGAGACTTGCAGAAGCGACAGAGAGTGAGTGAACACGGTGGCTGAGTGTTAGTACGGGACTTGAAGAGTCTTACATTCCTCTCATAGACATCTGTATGTACATTCAAACACCTGTCACTTCCGCTTGGGCAAACAGAGCTGAAAGGAAGTGAAAGAGAGCATTTTGATGCCACGTAGCTGGAATTACAATAGTAAATCCAAAGGCCTGAGCAGGTACCAAGGACACTGATAAAAACAGCAAGGACAACACTTGCTGCCACAGTACTGGATATATACTGGAGGAATATAAAGGGCATCCTTTATATTCTTAAAGTGTAATAGTGTTTTACAACAGTAGCTTCCTTCTAGAGAGTAACCAGGGCTTTGGTTCAAATTAGCAGGGCTGTGAGCCAGTTATTCCTGTTATTTAATTCCCCCAATGAACACTTAGATATACTGCATATATTGTAAGTGTTAATAGTTTTTCAATTTGTCACCTCGTAGCCCCCAGTACAGTTATCGCTTTGGAAGAAAATGCCACTGGTGGTCAGAATTATTCATTGCCGTCTGAAAAGGTTTAGAGCAGCAGGGCTATAGAATTTATAAGGGATGGTTACAACAAAAATGAATTAATAATAATCAAAACAGCATTAAATAGTCTGAGAATTGATCCCTCAAGCGTTAATTTATTTTACGTCCTAGGTATTAGGTACTCGGTTAGTCGACCTTTTTCATATCAGATATTTTGAGTCATAGCATCTGCATTCCATTTAGGTGTAGAATTGTCAGGGCCCTGGTATCATGCATGCTGGCTCAGTGTGGATATATATATTCAAAATACATGCAACTTACTAGTAGTTCACAGTCAGTACTGTGTTTGTATTTTCATAGCATATCTTTTTTCAGTCAGTGTACACAAAATCAACGTATTTTGAAATAACCTGTACCACAAATGGACCAAGAGTTGAGACTATTTTGTCAAAAAAGTCAATGGTTAAAGGAATAGTTATGTACAGGACTATTTTTGACCAGTTTTTGCACAGGTAAAATTAAAAAGTGTCAATTATTGGTAGATTTTGGGTCCTTCGGACAAAGCCGGCCTGGCTTTTCCAGTCTTAATGCTAAGCTAACTGCTCGCTCCAGCTTCATAATGAATACTGAACGCACAGACATGAGAGTGACATCAATCTTTTCATCTTACTCGCAGCAAGAAAAGCGAAACCAACGTTTTTTCCCCCGGATGTCAAACTACTCTTTCAATCGAGTCACGGTAGTATCAACAATATATATTTTTTAGCATTGATAAAATATTCCATTCATTCCCTGTCACCGGATATTTCCAGTGAGTGAGCCCAGCATTTTTTTTTTTTGTTGAGAGCAGCTGGGTTTTTTCAGTTACAGAAGAGCTGAGCAATTTGTTCTGTGGCAAAAGGTCAAGAGAAATGAGTGAGCTCTATCAAATCCTGAAAACGAA